TCTATGCAAATGCATCATTCTGGTTTTAATATGCTGCCTGCCTCTGTTCCTTGTGTCACAATCCTGGGCAGCAAAATGAAGATAGGCTATGAAGAAGATGAGAGCAGGAGGCCAGTCACTCTGAGGAGGACCCACACCCTGTGCCCACTGCCTGCCCATGCTGGAGCCAGTGGAGGCACTGGGAGCAGATATGAAATGGAAGGGAAAACCAGAGCATGCAACTAGAGCAGAGAGAGAAGTGTGAGGGGAAAGGAGGCCAGGAACCAGGAGTGAGGCTGCAGTCCTTTAATGAGGAGCAAAACTTCTCTTGCCAATGTGCTCATCAGTTTCTTTTCCCTTATGTCAAACTGGAGGTGGAAAGAACACATCAGGGTGGGACAGCGGATGGCAGCAGACACCTGCCCTGTGTAGTAGCTGCCCTATTCCAAATGCCAAGCTGGGCAGAAGCACTGAGCCCCTTTGCTGCTGTTTTCCAGCCTGGCATCAGTGGGAATTTCAGAAGCCCCTGGATTCCAGGCCTGCATACACTTCCCGCTGGCCTTTCCGGATGGGCTGTGGGAATAGAAGTGTTAGTCTGGGGATCCTCATTAACTCCCCCTCAAACAGCACCACAGTTTAACTGGATGCTTCTTCAAAGGAGCAAAATGCATAAATGCTACGGATTCCCAGCTATGGCTATCCCATTATCCCTCTCCAGCCAGCAAAGAGAGAGACAAAACACAGGTACTCCATACCTCATAGTCTGGGTTTGGAACAGGGGGAGGACGCTGCATCTTCTGGCCTGCAACAAAGGCAAAGGGGATTTATCCTTGGTGATAACTCATATAACACAACACAAAGGACTTTCACGGAGATGATCCAAGGGTATGGCATATCATGGGTCAACTCCATGGCTTTATTATCAGCTTAGAACTTCTTTAAAACCAAGTGCTCCATTTAGTGCTTAGCAGACATCATGGAGGGCAGAGATGCCTGAAACGGCTCTTACCTCGTGGCCGACTGCCAGCACCAGCGCTTGCTCTGCCCTTCCTGTCTTTGCTGAAGTAATAGACCAGAGTGAGCACCCCGAAGGTGATGAGGAGATCCGCACTGATGATCCCTGTCACTGCCAAGGCATCCAGCTCCGCACAGTTTGCACACACTGCCAGGAGGAGAGATGAGGGTGCTCAGAGATGGGCACTCTTCCTTTCCAGCAAGCAAAGTCCAGGCCTCACTCATCTGCTTGGTGCTAGCTCCTAATATCCATCACTGAAATGTGCAGACTTTAACCCATACACTGTGTGCTTTTTCACTCACCTCTGGCATTCAGGTACATTTCATACTTCTTGGGACCTGCCGAACAACTCACGCTGACAGGAGAGCTCTCATGATTCTCTATAATGTACTTCTGTGCGTCGCTGACTCCTTTTATTCCACTTGACTGCCAGGCTATGGTGCCTTCAGTCAAGGGACATGTGATTGTCACTGTGGTTCCAGAAATCTCCACCAGGAATCCTTTATTGGAAGATGGGTGAAGGAGAAAGGGAACCAGCATTACAAATGGCTTTTGAGCAGGCTTCCCTTCTAGTGCTAACTAGTTAAGATTATTGGTTAAAATACACTTACCCTCTTGTGCTTCTGTATCATCTGCAAAGGAGAGAATAATGTGTTAACCAACCAAACCTTACTGTTTGTTGCTGTTGGAAAACGCCTAACTCTGCTTGGGGATCACTAGCAATAATGAGGGGCATTCACAACAGGCAGCTTTTCCAAGTCAGTGAGATCAGTAGCAATTAATGAAGAACAGTGATTTTTTTTCCCCTATCCTACAGTATTTGCAAAAATTCAGGTATTTCTATTGAACTTTTACTCCTCATTTGTGGGGCATAGTTGGTCTTTTGATCATCAATAGGCAAGAATGCTGGTAAAATACACTTACCCTGCTGAGCTGCGGTGCCAGCTACAAAAAGAAAGAATAAGAGGTGTTAAGAAGTTCAGCTACTGATACCACACACCTTTCCTACTTCAAGGATAGCTTTTCTGAACCCAGCTGCTTGAAAGAGCTGCTTATACTCCTATAACTGTGCTAAAGGCATTAGAAGCATTCTGTTAAGGGAGGCAGGATGTTGTTTTGAAATGAAGTCTTTTCCTTTGGAAGCCATTTTTAACACAGCCCAACGCAGGCTGGAAATCTGAGTAATTTGCTGACCCACTTTAGGAAAGGGTTGTTCCAAGCTGTGAACCCACAATTTTGCTTCATCATCATGGACCAAAGACTGCTGGAAAATCATGCCTGGTCTCTGCAGGAAGAACCCCTGTCCCCTGCAGCACTGCACTCTTTGGAGGATTGGATCCCGATGCTTGATTTAACACTGAAATAGTTTATCGGTGTGATTTTGCTCTCTTGGTTGGAAACAAGTAGCTCCATTGAAGTCTCTGGAGTTGGAATATTATAGAAACAGTTTTTAGGAGGTGTTAATAAGACTTGTGTTTGCTTTAAGGGCATTTGTTGGTAGAAATTAACGTAAGTACAGGAATGACCTGATTCATGTATTCAGCACTGTTTCATGCCAGGTAATGTTTGCTTTATGATAGGAGTTACTTGTAACAGAGCTGTAGACTTGGAACTCCACAGGCATAGAACTTGCCTGGAGAGAAGGTGGCCTGTTTTTTCTTTAGCTAACTTAAAAGTGGAAAAAAGAGCAGACCATGGGTAAACCTGATGTTTTCAGTCTTCTCAAAGAACAGCAGTTGGTATTTGCAGCACATTAGCAGAATAGCTGTTGTTTTATTGTAGTGCCATTTAAGTGTCTTTCAAACTTCTCTCATAGTTACCAGCTTGTTTATAGTCTTTAGAGGTCCTGTGCATTTTGCCCCAGGCTTTCCAAATGCTAGTCAATTTAAACTGGTAATGTGGATATTGCTACCAGTCCCACTATATCACAGTGAGTCTGAAGTTATTTACCCATGATCACAAAATGGTTTAGGAAAAGAGCATGAATAAAATGTAAAATAAAATGAAATCCTCAGAACGTTCTGGTTTTCAGGGCAGCCACCTTCTGGTCCCCATGGGCACTGGGCAGCCGTACTCACCCGCACACAGCAGGAGTCCTCCCAGGAGAGGCAAGGACTGCTCCAACCTCATCCTTGCGTTCCTCCTCCTCTTGCTCCTCAGAAGCACATCAGATGGGCATCACTGAGGCAGGCTGCGAGGGAAGAAAGCACACATTGGCTTTCCAAGGGCTCGCTTACAAGAAAGAGGCCCAAGCTGTTTTCCCAGAACTGTGAACCCAGCAGTGCGGAGGAGACTCACTGTTTCCAGTGCAACCTGCAGGCAGCCAAGGCACGGAACGTGTGTGACAAAATGAGCCCATGTCAGGAAATGCGGAGGCTCAAAACATCTTCACGGAACGTCACTGACAGCAAGGGGTGGCCGCTCTGCACCAACCCGGTTCAAGTCTCGGGAGTCCTGTTGTAAATACCCTTGGAGGAGCAGGAGAGAGAAACAACCCTGGATGCGAGCTGCGGTCAGGACCTTCCTAGCAACCCTTCACAGTGGGTGTTTCTGAAGTTCAAACTACTGCAAGCAACTTACACAGAAGGGAAACCAAAGAAGCAGAAAGACTTCAAAGCAGCTCAGCACCTAGAGGCACTGTATGGCTCACAGAAATGAGCCTGTAAGTGCCAGGCTGTAAAACCTGGGGGGTTTAGTCACTGATGACACAATCTGGACACAACTTTGGTTATTTTACTCTGATAAAACCCATTTATTCCTTGTGCCTTTTCAAGAGTGGCGTTTGCCAGCTCCTCATCCTCACTCTCCTCTGTACACAGACAGGGAGGAGGGCAGCGAAGGCTGTGGCTAAGCGCAGCGACTTCTGTGCTGCCAGCCTCTGACCAGAGGCTGATGCCTGCTCTCGATGCCATGCGCTGCTGTTAGGAGGGAGCTTGCTCACCTGAGTTGCCTTCTCTCTCCAGCTCTCTCATGGGCCTGACTCCACTAGATGGGGCTCCAGCCCCGCTCCGCCACCTTCCCTACCCGAACTGCGCTTGGGGTGGGCAGCGACCTCCGCACCGCGTGGGACTGCGGCAGGGACCTTCCTGGCTTTGCTTCCAGCCGGGATGCTGGCACAGAGGGGGTGGGAGGGAACGCGCTCCCATGGCTTCCATGGCTCTCTGCTGGAAGCCTGCAGAGGTGGCAGCGCTGTGCGGGTGGCTGTGAGAGCAGTGGGGGTTTCAGGGTATGTGTCTAAAGCACAGTGCAAAGCCAGCCACGGGTCCCTCCTTCCTCAAGGACACTCTGTGTTTTTGCGCCTGCCACATACATCCCAAGGCACTCCTTTCCAGATGCCTGGAGCTGGCTTCTTGCTCCTTCCATGCACTCATCACCTAGTGACATGGCTGATCATGCTATTACATTGCTCTCTTTAGCTTGCTTTTACTTATTTCTGTTTCCAAATGAAACATCAGAGAGTTCAAGTTACTCGTAAGGGTGCAGAGGGCACGGTGCTCTCTTAACAGCAGGTTTTGAAACATGCTGAAGGTTAATCAGAGAAGGGAGCCCTTCAGAACAGCCAGTGGTTAGGACATCCTCCCCATCCCCGCCTTGGTACCACTGCTGGGAAAATTAGCATCAGGCTATGTTTCAGTAGGATATTTCCATGCTCTGGACGTGTGCCCACATTGCTGCCACTGACTGGGCTGTTTGCAGGTTTTGGCCAAACAAATGGCCCTCATTCCTTCAGGCTCTCTATAAACACCTTCAGGCAAATCTTCTTTTGGGAGCCAGTTTACCTCCCACAGGAGGGGAGTGGTTTCAGGTGGAAGCCGGGAGAAGGGATGATTGCAACACAAAAGAGCAAGGGAATATGGGAGGCAGAAGAAAATAATCGTACCTTGGAAGTGTCCCTGTTCTACCCGCAGAGGTGAGCTGCGCTGGCCGCACCTTGCCTTTCAGTGCAAGGGCAGGGAGTGCTCTCTGACTCAAGCAGGAGAGCGCTCGCATTGCTTTGCAAGCTGTGCTGGGAAGGCTTTGAGAAACTCGTCTCTCCTCCGGTTATTGAGAAACTGGAACCAGTTACCCATGGAGTCCGAACTTGTCTTCCCGATGCACGGCCCCAGCTGGCTGGGTGCTGCGCTCTTCCTTGGGGTACAGCTCCCAGGTAAGGAAACCTGGTCTTGCGTGGCCTCAGCTGCCATCTTGACTTTCCTCTTCTCCTCCCTTCATTATCATCCTCATTAAGGCAGTGACTTTGTAGGACTCTCGGATACTTGCTGCGATTCTTTCGGGTCCGGGGTCACTGCAAGTGACACGAAGTGATTGAGTTTCTTTGACAAACAGGTTTAAGCGTGTTCAAGCGGAAGAACAACACTGATCTCATTCTGAGCTCTGGTTACACGTCTTTTCCTCTCCTCCCAGGAACCTGGACTTTACTCCTTGGTGGTTTTTTTACCGTCTTTGTTACCAGACAGTCAGGGATTGTTAAGCAGTGCTTGGCTTTAGATGCTTTACACAGCGATGACTCCAGACTGACAATAGCCTGGGTCGAATGTTTAGTGGCTTATAGCTGGATTCTGAGAACACCATGTCCTCCTTTCCCAAACACATCAGCACATGGATTCGTTTGGGAATCTGTCTTGCAAAAAGGATTCTAAACTCGTTTCCCACGGTTGTTCTTTTGAAGGAGTTTAACATAAAAAGATTTGACATTGAATCTTTGGATGAGAGAGGGTCTCTGCCAAAGAAGTTTTTCAGTGTGGGCTCCTTCAATGTTTTGGTGTTTCAAATATTTTCTCCTTTAAGAAATTATTTGGCAAGGAAGTCTTGGGTTATAAATTATTTTCAAGTACAGGAAATGTATTGATTCTCTTTATTATGAAGCCATATTTTACAACCCCAGATAAACGGGGTTTTTGTTTGAATCATCCTGGGGGGGGGGGGGGGTGTTAACTCATCTTCTTAAAGTGACAGGAGATCATGAATGTCTCTTTTTTAATTTGGCTGGGTTAGTTTCACCAGTAAGGAGAAGCAAAGCCATGGGAGCACATGGTCAGGAACAGGGGGGACTGTCCCTTTCAGCAGCAGCAGCAAGCGATGCAGCACAGCACTGCCGTTTGTGGAAACCAACCCACTGAGTTCAGGAGCTCAAGTGGGCAGGTGAGAAAGGAAGCAGTTGTAGGGGGGGAAAGGAAGAGCCATGTGGGTAGCACGAATCTGCCAGTGATGAACCTGTCTGGAATGGCAGGGTGAGCCAGAAGACAAGTAGGGCTCAGGCATGAGAGGTATCTTCAAAAGCATCTTTCTTCTGTCTGTGTCTTGATGCTGTCTCGCTGCTTGTCCCTCTCTCAGGGTATTATCGAGTTAGCCATGCTGTCTTATTTACAGCGTGGTAGCTGGGATGGTTTGGTTAGCAGAGGATGTTTCCTTGACGAAAATATGCTTCCAGATTTACCTTGAGGATTTCGTGCAGAGTGCCTCAGCCTGGCTGTGTTTGACTGTAGTTGTCCAGCTGGGCGAACCTTTGAGCAGGCACTGCCAACTTCAATAGGAGAAGTTTTCACCATGGCGCTCAGGCTGATAATACAGTGTATAAAGGAAAGCTCTAGCAACTGTTTACTGTGGTTCCTCAGTCCTCATTAAAAGGGTGGGACTGCTTTCCTGAAGAAACCTGCTTGGGGAATTGAGTGCAGCAGAGTGCTGTCACTTGTGAAACCGTGGCCAGGCCAAGCTCAGAAAGAGTTATGTATGGTATCTTTAGTGCCAGTCAGGAGCAAGTACATGCTTAAGGATGAGTGGCATTTACAACAACATTGCACCTCCTAGATGTCAAGTTTACTCATGCCTGAAGAGAGACATTTCCAGCCCAAATAAAGTATTGTCCCTGTAGGTAAGTCCTTCCCAATGGTCCTCTCTCAACCAGTTACCAGGTCTAAGTGCTTACCTGTGAAGCCACAGCTACAAGGAAAGCACTGTACCAGCAGTTCAGATGAAGACAAACTCCCCTGAAAGCAGCACTGCCCAACTTGCATATCATATCGGCTGACAAAATCCATGAAACACAGGGATCTCTTGGATTCTGCATATGCAGGATCATCTCCTTCAGTAATTATATCTGTCTGCTGGAGACTGGCAGGTTAAACATTGACAGGGATAGATAAGGCAGGTTTTGCATAGGATAAATGCAGATAAGGAAAAGTGATGAGCTTACTGGTAGACAGTAGTTTTCCTTATCTCTAACGCCTGCTGTTTTCCCTGCAGCACTGTGGCCTGTGGCAGCCATGGAGGTTCACACTTCCAAGGAGGTGAATGCTGTGAATGGCACTAACCTGCGGTTGAAATGCACCTTTTCCAGCAGCAGCCCTATCAGCCAGCATCTGTCCGTGACCTGGAACTTCCAGCCTGAGGACCTGGGCTCTCATGAGCTAGTGAGTGAGACTATTATTGTCTATTTCATGGATGCAGCATTGCCCAAACAAACCATCCCAAGTCCCAGCACTGGGTAATCCCAGTGATTGCAACAACTGCAGGTATGGGTATGGGCAAGCATCCATCACAAAGCCCACACAGTGTTTTGGAATGACAGCTTCCTCTCTTTCTTGTAGGTATTGTATTACCTGCAGGAGCCCTACAATCTGCCTACTGGACGGTTTAAAGAGCGAGTCACTTGGGATGGGAATATTGAGCGTAATGATGTTTCCATCATGATCTGGAATTTGCAGCCCACTGACAACGGGACATTCACCTGCCAGGTGAAGAACCCCCCCGATGCTAATGGGGTGATCGGTGAAGTGCGACTCAGAGTTGTGCAGAAAGGTGAGAGGCCAAGAACCCACCAGAGGTCATGTGAATTTAGCAAGGATTCCTCCATGTCTGGGAGAAAGTGTGGAAGAAAAGGGATTATAAAGAGAAAGCAGGAGGGTAGTTAACGGATACAGGGGGAAAAGGAGCCTGAGGAAAGGTTATATTCACAGATAGAGGTTCCCAGTTCCCTACCAAGAGCTTCTTGTGTGTCCCTCTTGTTCATGGGTGTGTTTCTCTCCATGCAGTGCACTTCTCAGAAATCCACTTCCTGGCTGTGGCCATTGGGTCTGCTTGCGTTCTGATGATCATTGTGGTGACGGTTGTCATTATCTGTCGACACCATCGGAAGAAAGCACAAGAGAAGAGGATCGAGGTGACAGGCACTGAACTGTAAGGACAGGGGGAGAGAGGCAAAGGCTTCTGGAATAGCCTGCCAAATGTATTTTCATAGCTGTTCTGAACTATTGGGCTTGGACCCTGCGCTAATCACCTGCAATGCAAAACTGCCAACTCCGTTATCGATGCTTGTCTGTGTACGTGCAGTCAGAGCAGAGCCCTGGGATGAACAAGCTTTAGAGTCCTCTTTCTGCTCTTGTTCTTCACAGCAGCTCCTCACTCAGACAAGGATGCACCTTGTAGTGGCGGCTGGCAGATGACACTGTGGTCACCATGCATGCAGCAGGTTTACTGTCTCATCATGTAACCCTGTTACGTGTGCTATACATAACTCCAAACGTGACTGCTGCTCGGGATATGACACTGATTTGGGCTTTCTTTTCCTCCTCCCCTCTTCTTTTATAACAGTAAAGAAAAGGAGAGTCTGAAGGCAAGAGAAGAAAAGGAAGGCAGTCCATTAGAAGATTAGGGGCCTTTGATGGTGTATACACTGCAGGTACCCATTCAGACATTCTCTCATTAATGTCCTGGTGTTTCCACAGGCATCTGATGGCAGTTTTACTGTGGTGTTTCACTTCTAGTCACAATAGCTGATGCTAGCCATAAGCAGAGACAACTGAGACCACAATCACACCGAGGAGCCTTCAGACTGACAACTGAACAGGGTGTGGAGACACAAGTGCCTCTTAGCTGCAGCAGGGATTTCTCCTCCCTAGCGTTGATGCTTTCCATGCCGTGCCTGCTTTGGGGATAAGGAGTGAATTCATTTCCCTTCCCCAGTTTTGAGCCTGCTTTTGGATTCATTGGCTTTTTATTGGTTTAAAAGTGCTACAGGGAGCCTGAGACCATTTCCACATTTGCTGGCTTTGCAGCCCCATTACAGCATGGGTTTTACCCGCTCGGTTTCTGAGGTCAGCAGCCGCCTTGACTGTTTGTGTTGCCTGCAATAACCCTGAGCAAGGAATCTCCTTTGTTCTTATTCTTTCTTCTTAGGTGCTTCTAAGGCAGATGCAGAAACCTTGTAATTTGGGATGTTAGGATGAAGCTGAATTCCAGAGGCCTCACGCTGGGAGCGTGGTGTCCCCGCTCAACCTGAAATTCTGGCAAGGAAAGAGAATGACATTAACACCAGTTAATGAACTCCTCCATTGAAGCAAAGCAGGAGGAACTTGCTCCATGAACAAGGAACTTTCCTTCACCTTCACGCCTGCAGAACGTGCCGAAGTCTGCTCTGACAGAGTGCTGTAAGACTGGGGCAGGATGCTGAGCTACCTGACTGAGCAGGGATGCTCAAAGTGCAGGCTCACACCTTAGAAATCACAAGGTGCCTTTGTGTGCCCTGGTTATCCTCCCTCAAAATCCTGTTTGTCATGGGCTATGTGAGGAGGAGCCGGTTGTACAGTGTACTTTAAAGCCTTTGCCACTTCAGATGGGAAGCGTTACACGTCAGGGATGTATGGTGTTCTATTTAGGGTAACATTTACCAGTTGGTGTGCATTTTGTATCAGTCTCTTGCAGCTTCTGAGGATGCTGCCTTCCGCCAAAGCTCCAACTGCAGAGCTTTTACAGTATTCCAACAGCAGCAAGTCAAAACATCAGCCTGTTTGTTTAAAGAGTATCTTTATGACTTTATAGCGCTATCTGTAATGTGCTGGCCGCATTAGCTGTCTGTATGTTGTCATTTTCAATCTCCTGGGTTATCAATAAACGCGCCTGGTGGAGAGCAGTGATTGTGAGCAGAAGGGGATGTTACAGACGTGCACGGCCCCGGGGATGCCCGATAAGCGGGGGTTTGCTCTGAGAAGTACCCAAAACGCAGCCAAGTGGCTCCCCCAGACCCGGTCCCCTTGAGAGGGCAGAGCCCGGAGCCCCGGCCCTTGGCCCGTGTGGGAGCCGGCACCCGCGGTACCCGAGCCCCGCTCCCGTCGCCATGGCAACCCGGGGCCGCCATCTTGGGCTGTCCCCGCCCTCACCTGCGCTGCGCAGGTGAGCCGCCATATTGCGGCCCAGAGCGGAGCCGGGATGCGGTGCGGCGGGGCGGGCGGCGGCTCCGTCCTTCCGCAGGGAGCCCTGGTGCTGCTGCTCGGTAACGGCCGTGGTTGCGGGACGGGATGGGTCTGATGGCGGGGAGCCGGGCTGCGGGAGCGGCGGTCCCTGCAGGGAGGATGGTCAGCGCGGACGGGATGGGCGCGGAGGCTCCGGGAAGGGCCGTGCCGGAGCTGGGTGCGGCCGCGGAGCGCTCCCGGCCCCGCTGTGCGGTCCCTGTGGCCGCTGCGGAGCGGGGAGCGCTGGAAAGGGCAGGAGAAACGGGGGGGAGCGAAGCCCCTCAGCAGTGCAGTGCAGTGCGGGCAGCGTTCAATGGCTCATGCTGCTTGTGCCCCAGACGCGGTGCCTTTGGTCTTCTCTGCTTTGGAAGGTCTGGTCAGTTTCACCGGGGATTCCAGGGCTTTCGGTTGGTACCAAAAGCGTGAATTGCCTTGGATTAGGCTAAAGCTGGCACTTGGCAACTCCTCAGAGAGCCAGCTGAGTCCGTTTCTCGGCTCTTCACCACCCTAGCTAAGTATCTGTAGGCTTTTAGTGGTGTTTTCCAGATAAATACTGTAATTTAGGCTAGTTCCAATCCCATAGGGAAATAGGTGAGTGAAGCTGTCTGCTTTGCTTTAAATGTCGTTATGGGGAGGTAGTCATCACTGTGCTTCTGTGTTTAGGCTGCTTGACCTGCACATGCACCAGTGCCTTTGGGACACCATCACTTCTGACAAGAAACTAATCCTTGCCTTTTGTGCTTGTTCCATCAGGTGCCTGCAGTGCTCTTTCCCTGGAAATAAAAGCCAGTGCTAGCGTGCGAGCTTATGTTGGCGAGCAGGTAGCACTGAAATGCTCCTTCAAATCCAGTTTGCCCATCGCTGAGAGCCTGACGATAGACTGGACGTACCGGCCCGTCACGGGGGGTCAGATGGAGACAGTAAGTGGGACAGGGCCTCTTTTTGTAGTGGAGACTGACCAGGCCTCTGTGCATAATGAGATTCTGAATATACTTGTTCTGTTTGCTGTGCTGCTTCACCCCTTTGGGTTTGGGACTCTCATTGTCACCTTCTTCCCCTTGTGAAATTGCTTTAGTGTTCTTTGGGTGAAAAATACTCTGCACAATGCATAATAGTACCATGAGGATAAAGTAGGTGAAGTTTGGGTGTTGACACCAGGGCTGTGTTGTGCACTGTAGCTCTGTATAGAATGACTGTAAAGCATTTGATCGGAAGCTTTCTTGAAGGCAGCTGGACCCTTGTAGTTCTGTCATGCAGGCTATGGCTGATATTTCTTGGAGTGGCAAGCACACGTGAGTGGTGACAGTCTGAAGACAGTGATGGTGACAGCCTCTAAAGTTTGAGGGCTTCTGCTTGCTGTTTTGTGAGCAGCAGTTTGAAACTTGAGTCTGAAAGCTGGCTGAAAATCTCTTCTTCAAGGTGGAAACAGAAAATGCACATCTTTACAGGTGATCAGTGCCTTCTGTTGCCTGAAGAGTTTGAACTCTTAGGAGCATGCTTCTATTTGGAACAAAAGGGTGCTTCTTTCATCAAGTGGTGTCTGCTAAGCCTCTGCTCATAAGATAGCAAGAGCCAAAGTGCAAGAAGCAAGCCCTCAAGAACTGCTGTGTTCTGTGTTGTATGAGGCAAGAAGCCCACTCTGCTTCTCAACTGAAGATCTGCAGAAGGGAAGAAGTTGGTTAGAATGGTGATGGTGACAGAGAGCTGAGGCTGGTAGATAAAAGCATTGGAGACCTAATGAAATGAGACTGACTCAGAGTTATCATAGGAGAACTTGACAAGGTCTCCTATACAAGAAGTGTTATTTCTCACTTTTAATATGTATTAATTTATGTTTACAATCTAAAAAGTAGTTTTCTTTGCTTTCTTAGACAAGTATTTTATTGCCTTTGCTTCCTTTTAGATTTTTCATTATCAGTCTGTTCCATACCCGACAACAGTGGGAAAGTTCAAAGACAGGATATCCTGGGTTGGGAATGTTGCCAAGGGCGATGCTTCCATTGCTATTGAAAGCCCATCAATGAGTGACAATGGGACGTTCATCTGCAGTGTGAAGAATCCTCCGGACGTGTACCATAACATTCCCCAAACGATGCTGGTAGTTACTGAGAGAGGTAAGGCTCCATGTCAGTAGCATGTCCTCACCCAGGTGCTACAGCTGCCTTGCGGCTTTGTCAGGCTCTTGGAAGGCTGAGCATCACTCATGACACAAGTTCCCTGGAAGTCCCCATTAGAATTTCAACAAAAGTTACCTCACCCCATCTTTCTGAGCCACAGACATTGAAAACTATTGAATTTACTGGGGCAGGAAGGGACTGAGGGAGCTGTGATGATAAAAGAAATCAAAAGCATGCAATTGTTCAGGAGTTCTGCTGTCTGCATATTGCAGCAGTAGAACAAGTTAAATGCTGGTCTAAAAATAAGAGTCACATCACAAGTGCTGATTCTTAATATTACTTAATTTCTTCATCTGCCTTGCGTGTGAGACCTGCCCCAGTTTTGCAGTTTAGGCACACTGATAGAACTGTGTCGTGACCTGCCTTCCTTTGTAGCTTTCTACAAATAAAGCACCTTACTGTGCTGGATGCGTGACAGGAATCCTAGAGATTCAGTGACAAGCTGCTTCAGATCTGTCAGCTCTGTGCTTTGTACTGAAAGCCTCGCAACCTGTGTCATGGGTGAGCATTTGCCAGAGACTTAAAGCCATATTTGACTCGTGGTACAGCTGGGCTGCTGTTTGTCTTTCCTGCAGGCTTCTCCTTCCAGCTCACTTCAGCGGTGCTGCTGTCCATTTTAGTGTTCCTCCCTTCCATCATTGTGGTTGTTCTGCTGCTGGTAAGGATGGGAAGAAAATTTGCAGTGCAAAAGGAGAATAAAAAGCCTGGCTATAAGAAATCCTCCATCGAAGTGTCTGATGAGTAAGTTCTCCTGCATCCTAAAGCCTGTATTTCCACTCTGGCTTGTTGACACTGGCCAAAGGACAGTTTCTCCACTGTCCTTTGTTCTATAAGCTCCCAGCGTCTGCAGGTCAGTCACTGAAACCTAATTCTCCACTAGCCTGACTTGGCCAGCCTTCAGAAAGCTCTGGAAAATCCCCATGTTTGAGCATAAACTAAGTGCTGTACATCCCCTTTTTATGTCCTTTCATGCGTGACCATGGAACTGAAGCAGTTTAGGGTTAGACAGTCTTTCACTTCTGTAACTGGATTTATTTCAGTCTAAATCAGCAAGATACTTTGCTTATGTCGGCTTTTTTGGTGTGAAATACCCATAAACAACAAACCAAACTGAATGATGCTAACTGGTTCTCTGATGGCCTAAGCAGAGATGCTAGGTACTGAATAAGCCTTTGAGGCTGAATTCCCTTCTGAAGTGGAGAGGGTTCTGTTCTGGAAAGGTTCAGTAGTGAGAATAATCAGATAATGTGGCTACTGGTGGAGCCATACCTGTTTTGCAATGAATTCAGTACTAGAAGTTCTTGCAGAATGGGGTTTTTAATCTAATGTTCTGATTAGTATTGTGAGATTTGCCAAACGGCAGCTCTTGTGTCCTTCATAGCACTTCAGTGACATATCTGCCTTCAGAGTAAGGGACCTGATGTTCTTTGTGCTTTTTACTTTTGCTGTGCAGAGTTAAAGTGTGGTAGAACTAGAACTGACAGTCCACAGGACTCAGTATGTGTGTTGGGGGAAAGTCCAGCCTAATCCTGTGGTTTTTCTGCAGGTCTGAACATACAGGGACAGGCACCTGCTGGGGGAAACTCAGGGACCGGTGTCTGAACTGTGTGGTAAGTGAAAGCTGGTGTTTTCATAACTGGCTTTTATCAAGTTTGGGGCTCAGAAGAGGTGCTGAGAGCAGCACATAGAGCTTGTCATAACACCTCTGGATGTCAAAGAAGTGTCCCCAGATCGCTAGGCTCAGAAGCTGCTCACACTGTGTTACTGGCAGGGGAAGTTGTCTTGAGACCCACCAAATTGGTTTTTCATTTGTCTCTATTGAAATCAACGCTGATACTTGGAAGATGAAAAATCAGAACTTGAAGTGGTAGTTACTGTGTTGTGTGGTTTCTTTCAAGGCTCTGCAAAACTAGTTTGGGTTTGCCAGTGCTGAGGTGAGGAGTGGAGGCATAGATCCCTCAATCGACCCTGTTTCTTGTAAAGATGGTAGTGTGTAACCTTGCTATTTAGACTGGTTTTGTCACAAGGGAATCGTGCTAAGCTCTTGATTTGTTTGTTTCATGAAGTGGTGGTTGTCTTCTGCTTGCTACCCTATCAGCAAACCTGATGATCAGACATCTTGTGCTGAAACTACTGAATGTGTTTGCCACCTGCTTTGTGAAATGGGCCTCAAGTTCTGTGTGCTGGCATTAGCAGCCACAGCCATAACCGTGGCACATTCCAGAGTAAGCTCATTAATGTGCCTAACTTGAGAGTGGTTTTGGTTTTCCCCTGATGTCCTATGGAGCCAGCTTACCTCAGACACACGTTTACATGTTTTATACATGGTCTGGAAGTATGTTAAGGAGGATTTAAATGTGTTGCTTGGTTCACTGTTATAATGCCAGTGATTTCAAGTGTACTAAATGCATGAGCCTTCAGACAAGTGTGTGCTGATGGTTTCTATGCTTCATTAGATGCAGAATAAAAAATCAGCAGTTATGCAAGTTACATATGAAATATTTGCAGTTCTGCATAAGACACAACAGTTACAATGCAGCAGTATTGGGAGCAAGAGTTTTAGGAGGTGCAGAAAGCAGAAAAAGCTTGATGCATAATGAGAGTTGCCATGGGACATGGAAAGGCTGCTGCGAGTGCGGTGCTGGGCAGCAGGGAGGCACCACTGCTTTGCTGCAGGGGAGATGGGGAAGGATGGGAGCCCCACTTTGATGAAACACATGGTTCAGGCAGTTGGAGGTTTTAGAAATTGAAAAACGTCTTCTTATCCTTTGAGAGAAGGCGAATTTGAATGTTACAATCCTGCTGCTTTCATGCTGAGTGTTTTGTTATCTGTTTGACACTTTGCTCTCTGATATCAAAATACTTGGCTTACCAAGAACATCCTGTCTCGCTCCCTTTAATGATTCAGTACTTTTGAGTTCTCTGCCCTCTACCTTTTCATGCTTTATGTGTTGCCAAATAATTAAAATTGCAAAGCTGGTGAAAATCTGTTTGGACTGGAAATGGCTGGCAAGTTAGTTAGATCTCCCTTACAAAGAAGCTGTTATCTTTGAGTTTCTCTCAAGTTGAGAGCTGCAGAGGTGGATGGTGGGGACGCTATCAAATGATGACTGTGGTTAAAAAATGAGACAATGGGGATCTGAAAGTGTGTCGTTGGTTGTAGCTGAGAAACAACAACTGGACTTTCTTCGTAGGGGTTGGAGGTGCTTTTTCAGGAGATGGCTCTCTGCACTTTGTGGTTTGTCTTTTGCTTGAGCTTTAGTTGCTACTTCTCTTAAAGTACACTGTGCGTGTTGGTTATGCCGTAGCAATTTGGCTGTGTATCTGTGGTGTGTCAAACAGATTTAGCTGCAAGTGCTTATAGGCTACAAGTTCTAAGGTTTATTGAAGCACAGCAGCATCTTGGAAAGCATTTAAGCTCTTGTCAGAAGCCTAGCAGACTCAAAGTCTTGTCAAACTCATAATGCGGTTCATGTCTTCATATACAGACTCAATTTCTCTCTCCCATTCTTCCTGTGTAGGACACAGATGAGGAAGACCCATACTGATGAAAGTCTAAAGCTATGCATAAAGAACAAAATGACAGCACTGAAAATCATGACTAGATGAGTACGAAGGCTGCTGGATAACCAGTGCAGATTGAAGGACCTGCTCTAATCTTTGTAGATTGGAAGAATAATGCCGATGGGATAGTTCACTTTAAGCACAAAACAATGATTTTTGACATCTTTCTGATTTAGTGGAAAACCAAAAGTCTTTTAACCTCATTTCTCCAGTGCCTGCAGAAAACTTGGTGCCTACAGCTGTACAGCCTGTTCCCTACCAGCAGCCTGCCAATGCAGTTTCTCAGTTTACTTGCAGATTTGCTTCCTTTATTATTGTGACATCCCTCCTTTCCTGTGCCCTTGAATCTGAATTGCCTGAAGCACAGGCTACTCCAGACTGCTGTCAGCTCTCTAAGGTGATAATCATTGGACATTGACAACAATTTCTTCTCCATTTTTTGGGAAGTATTTGCTAAGGACTGAAAACAGTCTGAATTGGTACCTGGCTCATTTGTCTTTGAGCAAGAGAACCTGCTGCTTTTAACTGTTTCTTGGTTTAATCTGCCACTGGTTTGTTCCTGCTTTTTCCTGGTTCTGTTTTTAAGTCACCAGCTGCAACGTAATGTTACCTTTATATTGTTGAGTTTTCCCTTTCCTTTTTACTTGTGAGTATTTGTCCAGGGCTGCATTAGTAGGTTCATCTCCTACTTGTAGAAGTGAAGCACAATTCATACAAACCAATTTTTAAAAATCAGAAATGCAAATGGGGACTCTGTATCTGGGGAAACATAACCCCATCTACCTCAACCATTGACTGAAGCGATGTCCAAAGGAATCTTCCGTGTTCAGAAGAAGAGACGTGTTCCTCCTCTCTTCTTCTAGGTGCCTTTTGAGGGTAACAGCCAAACATGCATCATTACTGCCCTCTGCGAGTGAGTACATTCTCTTTCACCAACCTTCTCTGGTAATGGATGGCAGAGAGCAGTGGAATTCATGTCTGCTTAGCACCTAAACAGTTGCTGGTTTCAGCTTCCTTTCTGTATGCGGCATTGGTCAAATAGCCTCCTTTTACACGTGTGTTTAAGTTTACTGTTTGTGCCATTACCAATAAATTGCTTTGTTTCACTCTGGGCTGTGGTTTCCTTCATTTGGCTAAGTGTGTCTCTCCCAGCCACGACTTTCCTGAGAAAGGATGTTGGTGGGATATGCAGCCTAGGGGAAGTGGCTTTGTTGTTCCACTTTCAGCAGTACTCGAGTTCCCTGTGAACGTGAATGACTTGTTTTCTGCAGAATGTTTGCCTTCAATTGCACTCCTTTGCAACCATGGGCTAGATGCAGGGCAAATGGGTCTGGTGCAAAGATAAACTGCCACCTTGAAGCTAATGAGACTTTCTCTGTTAGCTGTAGGGAGGTTGCTGATAGAGAACAGTAATCGCTGTGGTACTCCAGAGGAAGAGGAAGAACGAAAATGCACTTTCAAAGTGATTGGGGTGTGGGTGTGCAGTGGACTGAAAGCAGGCCATGCTGTGTACTGGGGTTTAACCCCAGCTGGCAGCTAAGTGCCATGTGGCCATTCTGTCCCTCCCCTCAATGGGATGGGGAGGACAATTGGGGGTTAAAAAAGGTACAGCTGTGGCTTGAGATGAGAACTCTGTGCCTGCTAAAACCAGGACTGTGTCTTGTATGTGGTTCAAAAGGGAGCAGCTGGCTATGGTGTGAGAAGCATGTTGAGAGTGGCTCTTCTGCCCAGAAGATGCCAGCTAGCCTGTGGCCTCCAGCAGCACCAGTACCGAGGCATGGTAAAGTGAACTGGTGTTGCCTGCTGCCTATGTCTCATCAGGACAAGAGCCAGTCTGCAAGCACAGAGGTTCTTTAACCAGCTCTGAGCCTCAAAAATGAACTAAGGGGAAGCACAGGCTGCAAAAGGGTTGCTTGCCAAGATTCTCTCTGTTCTTGACTTCTCATTTAATGACTGATCAGATCAGTGTGCTGCAATGCAAGGCGTGGGACTGAGCCGTGTCTTGCACCTGCGAGGTGTTTTCTCCTTACAAAGCTGTGTTCCCACCACTGGTTCTCAGATGTATGCATCTATAATCCTCCTTGCCTCTCCTAACAGTTCCTTTTTCGTGCTGGTTTGTCAGTACCTCAGTCTAGCTCTTAACTTCCTCTTGCAAGTTGAAAGTGACCACCAAAGTGAACCTGAAATAAGAGACTCGGAAATAAAGACTGGCATACAAGATACATATCTTGCATGCACAACTTCGAAGACAATTCACCTTTCAGGTGCTCCAAACTAGTTACTGAAGATGGATTTGTCCAAGAGAAACTGACTGCCCCAAAACCACTGCAGGTGAGTATGTTTTGCCATTGTGTTTGTTAGCTAGTTGTTCTTCCTGAGAGCTAGGGAAGCACAGAAGTGCTGAGGATTCGGGGACCCTGTGCAAAAGTAGGAAACTCTGAAGGCAGTATGGTTTCTGTGTATTTCCCCCCCCGAGTCTGTTTAATAGCAACTCTCCTGTGGAAGGATTTGGAGATGTCAGCCCTGTGATTTATATAACAGCCTGGGTGAGTGGGTGCTGCCTTCAGCTGGTGCACTCACAGTACCCACTTGCTCTGCGTGTCACAGAGGGGGAACCTGTACAAATGTGTTCCCATATAGGACTGGAGTTTATTCTTAGATATAGGGTAATAAACCCAGGAAGGATCTGATGGAAGTAAAGACCAGAGCCTCAGTCACTCAGCTGCAGAGAACTTGTGAAGTTCTGCATGGAGATATCCCAGCGTGCAGCCTGCTGTGTGCTCAGGACTCCTTTTGAAGCTAGCTCCTATTTTGGGCCCTGCGTGGGGGTGATCCTGGGCAAGCGTAGCTCTGCTTGAGTTCTCTGGCTTTTGGCAGCATAGCTGGGAAGTAGGAGGCTTTGGCCTGCTGCACCGGGAGATGCTGCACCCGCTGAGAGCTTTGGAGCTGAGCGTGAGTTTGCAGTGTTTGCAGGTTATATGTGCACAAGCAAACGGTGCTGTGGCAGAGTTGCAGGCAGCACGCTCAAACTGCCCAGCTCTCCCCTCCAGCCACAAAAAAACAACCCCCAACCAGGTCATGTTGCTTGCACAGCAGATTGGAGACAATTCCAGAAGGCTTTCTGCCACTTTCTGGGATCATGTTTGTGGAAGGGGGAGAGTGACGAAGGGCAGAGGTGGTTTTACATCCCTGACTGCAGGCAGAGCACCATGCACTGACTGGAAAGCTGTAGTGACTGTTTTTCAGCCTAGAACACACTGTTGGTCACCCAGCAGCTAACTCTGGGTCTGTAATCCCTATCTGAACCCATCTCAGGGTGTTTCTGAGCTCCCTTTGCTTTGGAAAGAAGAAAGAATCATCCGATGTCTCTGGCCATGTAAAGAGATGGAAGCTTTCTTAGGCGCTCATTCTTTCCCACTGCAGAAGCTGTTCCTGCTGCTCCATGTGTGTGCATGGAGCTGCACATCCCCTCTCATCCCCCCTCACTTTTGAATGGGTGCAGCTTTGAATCATGGAGCAGGGACACAGCAAGCAGGGTACTGACTTTTGCCTCCCTGTGATCCACATGTGAACACTGGCTGGCACATTCCTGATAATGACAACCAGTCCTTCCTAGGGTGCAGGAGACATCTACAATGTGTGGAAGGATGATGTTGGCTTTGGAGAGATGTGCCGCAGGTCATAGTGAATACAGAGACCAAACATGGCACTGGCTGAACACTTCTCACCATGTGCAGCATGCAGTAGGGGGTCTGTGTTGTTAGGACCAAACATCTCTGAGTACGTAGCAGAAGAATCTCCCCATTGCTTTCTGAGCAGGGTTAAGGGTGATGAACATCTCGGTTCAGATGCGAGACTCGACCCCAAACCACCGGAAAGATTCATTACTTGGGGGAAACACAAAAGGGTTTCTGGCTGTGCCCTCCCCCCCGCTTGCTCTCTTCCTTCCTAGGGCTCAGTCTCAAACCAGTGACATCTGTGCTTTGCTCACTCAGCTGTGGCTGGCCTGAGCATCCAGGCAGTGAACATCATATCCCTGTCTGAGGAACTGAAGGAAGTCTCTTTGTGACTCGGTGTCCAGTTGCACATTGTTGCTGTCCTGCCCCGGGGGAGGCTGATGCATGTGTCACCTCTGCTGCTCTTGCTAGAAGATGAAGGTGTTGCTGAGGCTGACTCTGGTGCTGACATGGCTGGGTAAGCTGGAAGTCATTCTGGTGGGTTTATTGCTAACAGACCCATAGGTTCCTCTCTTCCTGCAGTGAGAACCTCTTGGGCTCCTGCGTACCAATGGCTCTGGTCTCTGGGTGCTGCATATTCCCTTCTGCAGAGCTCACATATGTATAGGCTTCAGATTGCAATGGCATTCCTGGACAGAGTCCTGTACTTATTCTGCCAGGCTCCAAGGCTTTGAAAGAAGTAGAACTGCTTTGTCGAGTCTAAACACAGGGGAAGCTTTCCAAGGGATTGATTCTGGCTCTGCCTGAGGCAAGTGGCTCCCTTGGTCTTCTCTACTGGCAAATATTTGTCATTTTCAGCCCCACAGCTGGTCAAGACCAGCAGAAACCTGCTTGGGAAGCTGTAGCACTTTGCATTTATTATTCCCAGAGCATCAGGCAAGCACCTGGTGCTTGGCCAGAGCCCAGCCCTCAGTGGCTTTGCACACACTGAGGACAAAGCCTACCTGCCTGAGCAGCTCCCCATGCAATCAGCTCACCTACATCCTGGCAAAGAAGTGCCAGAGCCTCAGCCGCTCTGCTTGCAGGGTGCTGCCAGGGCAGGCAGGGTTTGTCTTGACAAGCTCCAGTGGCATTGGCTGCCCCGCTTGTTTCCCTTCCTGCCGCCCGCTTTGCAGCCCGATGTGTGGTGAGGCTTATATCAGCCCTGTGCTCTTTGATGTTCCTCTGGCTTGGTTTTGTTTCCCTGTTGTCCGGCTGCTCCAGAAGCCCTAACCAGTAGTTACATGGCCAGACAAGTCCAGGCCCAGGTCTGGAGCCTGTGAGCAAGGGGGAAAGAAGCCAAATGGGCAGGTTGTGAAAGAGGAACTGAGCTGCGTGCGGAGCAGTTGAATCGCCCCTGGCCTGGTACGGATGAGAGCGGCACTGGTTCTCCCAGCCCGTGACTCAGAGGAACAGCCCTGCAGCCGCTGCAGGCTCCGGCTCGGAGACGCAGAGGGCTGGGGTTGTGCTTCCCCACTTCCCTTGGCGTGGGGTGTTCAGTGAGCGCAGCAGCCCCTGCTCCGGTGGCTGGGAGGATGTGCTGCCCCGCATCCCGGGCACGCCGAGAGCAGGGGTCAGGGAGAGCCTTTGCCTGCACGGGCAGCAAAGCCTCCCTGTTGCGCTCTGGTGCCGTTAGCCCCAGGCTCACCTGCAGAGGAGTTACCTATGAGGACAGGCAGGCTGCAGCTGGCCGTCCTCCCTGGACTCATCCTGCTGTCATTGTCCCTGGCAGAGCGATGCAGCGGGTCGGCTGGATGGGTGTCCATGGAGCCGCAGCTTCGAGCCAGTGCTGGGGACTCTGTGCTGCTGCAGTGCCTCTTCCTAGACCCGCTGGCCAAGGGCTGGACCATGGCCAAAGTGGACTGGCTGCGCCTGGCAGGAGCTGGCATGCAGAAGGTGGGTTGGGACCAGGGCATGGGTGGTGGAGCAGGGAATGGGGCAGGGAGAAGGGGAAGGTGAGCAAGGCAGCTCACAGGAGGAGTGGGGAATGGCCCAGTCCACAAGAGAAATGTTTCCCTGCATGGCAATGGGGACCTCCACCTTTCCCCATGGCCCTGCTCTGCAGGGAACCATGGCATTGGGTGCTGTGTCCTGCGGCTTTCCAAGAGAGCTGGGAGCAAACTGGGCTCTTGTGCATGGCAAACAGTCCATGGGGAGAGGGAGATAGCACGGACCTGAGGGCTCTCAAGCAGGGAAGGCACACAGTGCAGTGCCCTTCCCCTGCACTCCTTTCATCCAATGCTGTCTGTGCCCCAGCAGGAAGAGATGGTGTTTTATTACTACAGCAACCGTAGCATCCCTGTGGGCCGTTTTCGGGAGCGGGTGCAGTGGCAGGGGGACATCTCCCACTGGGATGGTTCCATCCAGCTGCAGGATGTGCAGGTGAACGACAGCGGCACCTATGTGTGTGAGATCCGGCTGCTCCAGCGCAGCAGCATCTTCAAGAACCACACGGTGCTGCACATCAGCCCCACAGAACAGAGAGGTGCGTGCCCTGCGCCTGCTCCCCTCTCCCATCACCCTGCTCAGCCCCATGCAGAGGGGCTCTGAGGGCTCTCAGCCCCTGCCACCATGGTTCTGTGGCAGGGTCCCTGTGTGTACCACCCCCTGTACTGATGTCTCCCCAGCAGGACACGGAGCAGCAGGCACCCAGGATGCTGCAGCCCTAGGAGACATTGGGTTTTGGCCTCTGGCTCTGGGCTGTGGTTGTGTGGCCGTTGTGCTGGCTTTCCTGGCCGGGCTCAGCCTGAGGAAGAGGTACCAACACTGCCTTTGGGTTTATGGGGCTGAGCAGAGCACCTCCTTGCAGATCTCCTGCACTGTTCTCCCTGGCCAAGCACTGTCCTCACTGCCACAAGCAGGGCTGGAGAGGGGGGACCAGGAGGGGTCATCTATGGGGTGTTGCACTGCCTGCAGTGGGGTGCAGGCTCCTGCTGCCCTCTAGTGCCACACTGCCCTGCCCGGTCCCTCCTTTGTTCCCAGATCTTACCGGCTCCAACAGCAGGGACAGCCTGGCCAAGGCATGCACATCCCAGTGTCCTGGGAGAGGGCGGGCAGGGCAGGAGGTGCAGGCGATGCTTCTTGCTTGAGGTGACACCACCATTGCCTTCCCTCAAGGTCTTCAGCCAACACGGCCCTGGAGAGGACTGGGAATGGTGGCAGCAAGAGCAGAGCAGAGGTGAGAGCTGGGGCTGAGCTGTGTGCAGGGGAGTGGGAGCCTGCCCTCCCTGGGGCGCAGCCACATCCTGCTCTGGTGGGAGGTGGGAGAGGGGGATTGATGGGGTGCAGGGAGCTGCGGGCCAGCACCCCCAGTGAGGGATAAGGCAGCCCTCATGTACTTGGGGGACCACTTGGCCCCAAGCACCCTGATCTCCTTCTCACAGGAGGCCCTTTACTCCTTGATCCCTGGAGCTGAGGTACCCAAGGCTGAACGGGGTGCAGGGAAGAAGAAGAGAGCCGAGGAGACCTACATAACCATGGTGAGGAGGAGCTGTGGCAGGCATGGGCAGGGAGTGCAGCTGTAGGGCCAGTGACCCCCTCATCACTGCCCGCTCTTGCAGGGTGATGGCATCCAGGCCCTGGCCCCTCACTCCTCACACCACACAGCAGCATCCTTTTTCCTTCTGCCCACTCCAAATGGGCCCGATACCTGCAGCAAGACTCATGCCCTGTCCTTTGCTCCTTGCAGCACCCATCCCGCTTCCAGGAGAATGGTGTCTACGTGGAGCTGGCCAGGAGGGTGATCCCAGCTGAATGGATGGGAGAAGGGAGACAGGGTGATGGACAAAGTGAGGAACCCTACAGCAGACCAGAGGTAGCACTTCCCAGGGCTCCAGAGCAGGAGTAATAGCGGTGCTGGGGGACGTAAGCCCTTAGCCAGCAGGTGTGTGCAAGGCATCTCTGCTCCTCCGGGCAGGCAGCGTTCTGCTGCTGTCAGCCCTCCCTCTAATAAGTGATGCCACTTCACCGTGTGCTCTGTGCCAGAGTCATTGCTGGGGCACGTCCCACCCAGGATGCCTGTGGGGACCAGGGAAGCTGTGTCTCTCTGGCTCTCATCTCCTGGTCTCTGGAGGGGGGAACAGTGGGCACAGCCCCCCCACTGTAGCTTTTCATGCTGGTCCATGCAGCTCTGGGTCCCGAGATAACCATCTCCAAGGAGAGCCTGGCAGAGAGGGGACAGGGGTGGTGCAGGCATGCCAATGGTATCTTCCGAAGATAATAAACCCCAGGGAGTCTTCCCTGTTCCTGGCTTACTTTTACCTCCTGCTTAACCGTGTGATGTCCAAGTGTGCCAAAAACTGCCTGGCCCAGAGCCTGCAAGCCCCTGCACCCATGTGCAGCCTCACACACAGCACCCATGGCTCCAGCACAGCCGAATGGGCCGCAAAGGGGGTCCCTTTGCCTGGGATCTGCAGGGGATGGAGGGGGCAGTGGGTCCCCACGTGTGTGTGCCCACACGCATCTCCATGCAGCATCCACTGCTATGGGCGAGCACCCCTATGTGCACCCTATACCTGGGGCTCGCTGCCCTGGCCGGGGAGCCCGGGAACCCCTCCATGGCCTCCGGGGCAGCGTCTCGGAGGCGCTGGCTCCTCTCCTGCTCTATATATAGATGTTTGACACCTCCAGGTGCCGAGCATGGGACCACCTCCCTCCGGCTCTGCGGATGGGAGACTGCAGCTCAGCCTGCTCCCGCTGCAGCCCTTGGTTTCACGTTGACACCCTCCTCTCTTTTCCTGCACGATGGGATCACAGGGGGATCCAGCAAACGGATCTGGGTTTGGGGCATCAGGGGGTTACCTATGACCCCTGCTGTCTTTGCAGGGTTATGGGAGCAGAGCAGAGCTGTGTCTGCCCGCCCAGCGCAGTAAGAAAACTGTGCTGTGTGTGCAGTGAGTGTGTTTGCTGAGCAGGTTTCCTGTGTTCACCCTGGCACTCCTCTAATGCCTTCTCTCCTGGCTGCTCTGTTTCCCCTCCTGAAGCTGGCCAGGTAGTAGAGCACCTCTGCATCCCTCCCCATTGCCCCATCCCTGCCTCCCCAAAGCTCTGGTGCTCAGCGGATGAGATGTGCTCTGGCTCCAGGACATCTCTCAACTTTCTGCTCACTGATGCTGCAGCAGCAAACCCCACCATCGTGTGCCCCAGGCACAAGAACAGGGGGGCTGAGCAGCTGCTGTCACTGCCTTCATGAAGCAATGTGTTCTTTCCTTCCTGCACCCCCCTCTGCGGCCTGAATCCAGGTTTGGAGTCCTTGAGCAATGGTGCAAAGGGGACAATTCCCAGCCCTCTTACTGCTGAGCAGAGCATCTGCATCCCAAGGTCTGGATGAGGAGAGGGCACTGCCCTGGGATAGCATCCTGCAGGGGGAGGTGCCAGCAGAGTCTGGTACCCCTGGGAAGTGAGGGGGCTGCCCTTGCATCAGCATGGGAGTGGGCAGGCACATTGGGAGCGCTTCTACCCGCTGCCTCCTCCCGGGCACGCTGTGCAGGCAGGGACCCTCTGCTCTCTGCCTGGCATCAAGGGCAGGTCCTGGGCCCAGCTGGGCTGTCCAGAACAGGAACTGCTGAGAATGGTGCGAGCAGGGCTGGTTGCAGCCTCCAGCTGGGCAGAGGTTTCACATCTGCATCGCCCCACTGAAACCAGGGGGCTGCAGTGGCCATGGGAGCCCTCAGGGCTGGCCAAGCCCTGGGATGCCGGTTTCCTGTGGGGAAGAGGAGCCCTGAGCGCTGCTTCCTCCAGTGTCAAGTTTGCACTGAATCCCACCAGGAATCTGCTCCTTGGCTCCCCTGTGCTCAGCACACTGCAGGAGATGCTCAGTGACACAACCCATGGGCAGACCCCTGCACACGAGTGCCAGCAGCCTTCTCCTTCTGTTCAGGGGAAAATTTTTCCGCCCTCCCACTTGTGCTGCTGAAATCCACCAACCACAGGATTTACTGGTTTTCGGCTCCAGCACAGCTCCAGCCATATTGGGCTCTAGAAATAAAGCAGCTCTAATGTTATATGTCACCTGCACATAACCCGGGCGTTCGAAAAAAGCCAAACCACCACAACCCACACCACCACCACGTCCTCTCCACACACAAAACTCCATCAAAATGAGCCTGGAAGCCTGGCTCCCGCAGCCCACCTTGTTCCTCACTGGCCTCAGCTTGCTCCTCTCGCTGGGTAAGTGGCATCTCGACCCCTTGCATGCACACGGCTGCCAGGGGACAGCACCCAGGCTGGGGAGAAACAGCCCTGTGTGGCCAGGAGCCCCCTCCCCGCATCCCAGCCCCGTCTGTCAGCGGGGATGCAGCGAGCAGCGCTGTGCTGCAGGGATGGGGATGGAGGTGGTCCCAAGGGCAGCCTGCCCAAACCCACCAGCCAGGGTGGCCTGAGGCAGGACGGGGGCATGCTGCGGCTCTATCTTATCCTAAAAGCACGGTGCATCCTGCTTGCTGAGGTTTGTCCAAGCGCAGGGCTGTCTGCATGCCAGGAGGGGTGAGGGCTGCAGTGGGGTATGGGGCACCTCTGGCTTTGCCTCGCTGGGAAGGAAGGATGTGGCTGGTGGGATATGGGTGGCTTGTGACTTTGTCCTTTGGTTTGTGGTGTGTGGGCTCTGGGCTGATGGTGCTGCATGGGGTGGGGGGGAACCGTGGTCTCTGCATTTGTCCTGCCCCGGAGCCAGCAGCGTGTGTCAGCAGGTTTGGGTCCACAGGGACTGGGAAGAGGAATGCATCACTTTGGGGTGCTGTTTGCACCGTCCTGGAGCTCCCGGTAGGCTGCCTTGGGAAATGGAGGATAAAAAGCCCAGTGAGCTCTGCTTTAGAGCCTGCGTGTCAGTTTACCTCCCGAGCCCTGGGTGCAGGGTATAGTGTGACAGAGCATTTGGGAGCCTGCACAGCACCAAAGGACACAGCCTGGAGGGTGGCTCCTAGGGGTTTTAGTGGTGTCTTTCCCCACCTCTGCTGTCCCCTGGTGCTGGATGCCCTGGCCATGGCAGGGTTTGCACCTGCACATGTAGGTGCTCCCCAGGCACGTGCCCCCGGCGTGCTGGCTGCCTGCGAGGACCATCTGGCATAGGGCAAAGCCCTGTCACTGCAGAGCCTGGGGTGTCCTCAGGACGCAGCACAAGGCCACCCAATGCAGGCACACAGGGCACAATGTGAGGGCTGACGGGCACTCGAGCCCATGACCCTGTGCAGGGAGCCCTGCAACCAGGCCTGGGCTGGGAAGGGACCTCCAGGGATAAGCAGGCTCTTCTGTCCCACCCTGGGCTGCAGTGGGGCAGCAAGGCTGGCACAGCAGCCTGGACACTTCCTCCTTCCTTGGCTGCTGTGGCTTGTTCCCATGCACCGGCTCTCCCCATCCCTGTGCCCTGTGCAGAGGCTGGATGGAGGGTGCTCAGCTCAACGTGAGCAGGGATGGAGCCATCCCCAGGGGCTTGGCCATACCTGAGGGCATCCCTCAGGTGGTTTCAGGATGCTGCTGATTTGCACCTCCGAGGTGCAGCTCAAAACAGCCGTAGCTGCACCTTGGGAAAGCCACTTTTCCCTGGCTGTGGAGACTGGCCCTTTTCCTGCCCTGCTTGCAGATGGAGCGGATTAGCCAGCAGAGCAGCCTTGAGTGCATCCAGGGCTGGACTCGGGAGCCCCTCAGGAAGAAGGGTTGAGCAAAGAGCAGCAGCCAAAGGGGAGAGGTGAGGTGATGGGGAAAGCTCCTGCTGCCGGTGTCACTGTCCCTGCCTGCGGGGTGCCATAGCCCCCATTTGCAGTCTCATCCATCTGGGGCTCTCTGTCCCTGTGCTTTTAGTGGCTCAGCCTTACAGTCTGCAGTAGTTGGTTGCACAGGAGCCTGTCTCAGCCCTTCCCAGGCTGGGGAGAACATGCTGGATGCAGGCACTGCGGTTCTGGTGCTGCTGCAGCACCCAGAAGGAAAGGAGCACAAACACCCCATCCCTGCCCTGTGAGCTGCACCAGGTACTGCCCCTGTTTCCCTGCTACAGCAGGGCCAGGGTGCAGGGACTGGCCTTGCCCCCCCAGCAGTGACTGAGGTCTTGACACGGGCATTCCCAGCTGGAGAATCCTTGTGCAAGCTCCCCTGGGAGGTGGGGGAGCATCTGCATTCCCCCTGCAGCCCTGGGGCCGGTCCTGGCAGATCCCAGACCTTGCTGCTGTCGTGCATCCTGCTGGGAATGGAATCTGATGAGCACAGCCATAAAGTGCTCCGTGTAAGTGGCGCTGATGCTGCATCCAGCCCTTGGTGTTATCGATCCTGCAGCAGGAGAGCCTCAGCTAAGTGCAGGCAGCAGGGCTTGCCCGGAGTCAGCAGAAGTCAGCCAAGCCAGGCAAGGCAGAGAGGGGTCACCAGAGGGCTGATGCTGCTTCTACTCAGCCAAGGGATGGTGCCAGGGCTGGGGATGCTCCCTCCTTGTCCCCAGTCACTGGTGTGCAGGGAAGCCCTGGTCCTGCCTGGATGTGCCTGGAAGGCAATCCCAGGCCCCGGGGTGAGCTCTGCCAGCAGGATGGATGCTTGAGCCCCTTTTCTAACTCCACATTTTCGCTCTTGCTCTGCTCACTGCAGCACCCACAGGACTGGGGATGGAGGTCATGGCCCCCGCCACAATCAATGCCTTGAATGGCTCCTCCGTGAAGCTCTCCTGCACCTTCAACTCCTGCTACAAGGTGGAGAACAAGCAGTTCTCCCTCAACTGGACATACCAGGAGTGCAGGAACTGCTCTGAGGAGCTGGTGAGTCCTGCTGGGGCTGGGCATGTGCTGAGACAGAGGTGCAGGGATCAGCTTGAAGCAGTCATGGGCATTCCTTGGGGTCTTTACGTGTGCTCCTGCTACCCAGCCCTTTGCTACAGGGAGGAATAGCAACTGATGGTGTAAGCAGAGTGGTGCCATGAGGAGGGGCTGTTGCGGTGGGCGCATGCAGCAGCGCGTGCAGGGCAGGGGGATGCCTGGCACACACACATAGCCTGTACCCAACAGCATCCCACCTCCTCCTCCTGCCCAGTTCCTGCAGTTCCGGACGAAGATCATGAACAAGCAGCTGGACCGCTTTGGGAACCGCGTGGAGTTCACGGGGAACCCCGCCAAGTACGACGTGTCCTTCACCCTCAAAAACGTGCAGCTGGAGGACGAGGGCACCTACAACTGCTACGTCCTGAACCCCCCGGACCGGCACCGGGGCCACGCCAGCATCAGCCTCAAGGTGCTCACCAAAGGTCAGTGATCCCCTCTGCTGCCCCGTGCTCTGCCTTCACCCCGGCAGTGGGAGCCAGAGCCCTGCCTGTTCCCAGTGGCTCCGCTGGCGGCTCCAGCTCATTCCCTGAGCCCTGTCTCCGCAGAGCCTCCAAAGCATGACTCCACGGTGGCTGTCATCGTGGGCGCTTCCGTAGGCGGCTTCTTGGCCGTCGTGATCCTGGTGCTGATGGTGGTGAAATGCGTGCGCCGGAAAAAGCAGCAGAGGCTGAACACGGACGACCAGAAGACGGAGGAGGAAGGAAAGACAGACGGTGAAGGCAACCCAGACGAGGGCACCAAGTAACACCCCCAGTCCCTCCCTCCCTCTTCACCCCTGTACAGCGTGACCCCCTTGATGTGCTTCCCCAAGCAAGGAATTCCTGTCTCCCCAGAGCATCCCTCCTTCCATCTCAACACCCAACCCAGCCTGGAGCAGGGCGAGGAGAGCAGGTCCCTGGAGCCTGGCCACAGCGGGCAGGGCTGGGGATGGTGGCTGAAGCGCATCGGGGCTGCCCCTGAGGCTCTGAGCGCCTCAAGAGCATTGCGTGTGCCTGTGGGGAAGTGCTGGGGACAGGGTGGTGTGGGACAGGGGGGATGAGCACGGTCCCCATGCATGGAGGGGATGGAGCAGCAGGTGCCAGCAGGGGCAGAAAGGGGCTGGGCAGCCCCGTGCCTTGATGTCTGCACCCTGTCCCACCAGAAGAAGAGAGAAGGAGCCAGCGGCCAGCATCATCTGCCTTCGGGGCCATGTCTTGCCCCCAGGATGCTCCTGCTGGTCCCAGGGCACAGGCATCAATGTGCCTGTCCCTAAGGGATCCCAATAGCTGTCCATCTCCTCCTTGCAAGTCCTGTGTGCCAGTGCTGAGGGTGCTGTGACAAGAAGCTTGTGCTCCTCAGGGACTGTCCCAGCCTGCTCGGAAGCTGGGTAATGACCATTAGCTCACACGGTGTCTCTGAGCTTTGCTGCTGTTTGGAGCCACTAATGGCTCCTGGTTTGTAACGGATGTACCCTTCTGCTTCTCGGGCTATTTTTGGGTCTGAGCATCTCAGCCAGAGGTGCTGGGCTGACTTTTTTGTGCTCGTTTCCTTCTTAGGGAGGGTAATTCTAATGGAAAATGCTCTACTGATGTGCCAAACCGAGGTGGTGGGGAGTGGCGGGGTGCGACTGCTAGGGGCGAATCGCTGCTGGGAAGAGGAGGAGGTTTGGGGCGCTTGCTGGGAAGGACTGGGCGCAGATGCAGGACCCTGTGATGCTGAGATTGCCTCCTCCAGCCTCCCTGCACAGCACTGCACAACCTGTAACTGCCATGGCAAAGCACTGCCAGCCCGGCCAGCCCCAGGCCCTGCAGTGCCGGCTGCTCCTGCCTCAGCCCCATCCATGGTCCAGCTCTTGCCCTGCTTTGGCAGCTCCCTCAGTGCCCCCCAGGAGCTGCCCCGTGTGCTCTGGTTTGTTATCAGCAGTGGCCAGGGCAGCTCATGGGGGACAGGACGTGAGGGAGCAGTGATCCCGGCTGGTCCCACCCTGCGGTGGTGCAGGGGGATGCATTGAGCCCGGGGTTGGGACTGGAGATGCTGCCTGCCTTGGGCAAGCCCTTGGGCTCCTGTGCAGGACCTGGTGGATGAGCTGTGCTGGATGGAGCTCACCCTGGGGCTTCTTGTGGGTCAGACAGGGATGTGTCCCCGGCCACACCGTGCCTGGGCTTTCCTTCTCCTATGGCAGACAAGACATGGGGCAGGAGAGGGGCAGTGCATGGACACCACAGGCCAAGTGACAGAGGCCCTGTCACCTATTAGCAACACTGCCAGGGGAGAAGTGAGACTTTCCCCACAGCTCCCAGTGCTGCTGCATCCCGGTGTGGTGCCATCCCAGCAGTGCTGTGGGCAATGCCTCCCTGGGGAGGAAGGGATGTCCATGTGCCCCCTGCTCTACCCCCATTGCTTCCTGCCCCAGCCCCGTCTGCCCTCCCCACCCCGCTCAACCTCGCTGGGCTCTGCGCTGCTCCCCTTCCCATCCGCAGCAGGAATGCGCCGTGTCTCCATGTGCCTTCCCTGTTTCCCGTGGCATTCCCTGCCCCGGGGAGAGTCGGGATGAGGCTGCCTGCCCCTCGCACCCCCACACCGGGTGGCTTTCCCTGCACAGTGCCAGTGGGGAGCCAGCTGCCAGGCTGGTTCCCCGGGACCGTATCCTGCTTGGAGCCAGGATGTGAGCGGCTCCACGCGGGATTGAGCTGGCAACTCTGCAGCCGAAGGCCTCTGACTGTTGCACATGAGCAGTCTTGCATCTGCCTTTTCATTTCTTCCATGCACTATCCTTGGATTGCAAGTTGCCAATGCATTTGTATGTACATAGCTGTACACACCAGAGAGAATCTCTACAAATATATATATATATACACCCAGAGGAGGCGCTGGTATCGGTCGTGACTGTAGTTTTGGGTTTGCGCCTTCTGATGGGTTCGTTTTGCACTCTGCTGAGTGCAAGGATGCTCTTCTTGCTCTTTGTACAGTTAAACAAAAGAACAACAAAACGCAACGTTTGCACTTGATGCTTTTGTGCTGGAGGGGCAGGACAGGGTCCCTCATCTCTGCTTCTGTCCAGGGGAATGGGAAGGCTCCTGCTTTGGTGCTGGCGCATGGCTCCACAGGGAGCACTGCTCAGCACGGCAGGTAAGGCTCAGCAGGCTCCAACGGAGCCCAGGGCACACATGGGGTGATGGGCACCCATAGCCAGGCTGCTTTCCAATTTAGCAACCCAGCAATGCCACTGGAGCGGTGCAGGAGGGCTCAGTAACAGGCACATGCATCCACCTACCTCCGTGCAGACACAAGGGTGAGTGCCAGGGAGCTCTGACAGCTCTCCTCTGTCCTGCCTCTCCCACCTGCGGCTGCCGAATGCCTGCACACCCCAAGTGGCACACCAGCACAGCCCCTACACAGTGGTGACAGTGAGTGGCATCAGCAGTCTCTGCTCTTCCCACTGCTGCCTGCTCACCTCGCTGTGTGCTCACTCTGCAGGGAGCTCCCAGCTCCCCTCGGGCACCTCTCCATCTCCATCTCTGCAGGAAGGGCACCAAAATCACCTCTAATGCACTCAAGCTGACTCAGTCCTGTAGCGCTGGGCTGGTGCTGGGGGTACAGCCCTGCCAGCAGCAGTGAGTCCCTGGCCTGCACCTTCAGAGGGGCAACTACAGCAAAGGGGACAGGGACTGGCAAGAACCTCATGAGGAAGGCAGGCGCTGTGGGATCATGGAGGAGAGCCCCGTGGGACACGCCAAGGGTGAGTGCTCATCACTGCGAGGAGCCAAGGGCACTGACTGCACCCTCCCGCAGGGCTGTGGCTTCACAGGGTCTCCAGAGCCGGGGACATTCCCTTTTACACACCGCATCCGTTTCCTTGGACCAGGTGGTGTTAGAGGTGTTGAAGAGCAAGCTGGGAGACAGCAGGGACCTCGGCTCAGTGCTCTGCAGAGCCTCGGGGCTCTGCTGGGTGCTTGGTAGGAGCGCAGAGCCGCTGTCCCTGCGATGCTGCCTGCAGCCTGTCAGTGGGGCTGGGAAAGGGGACAGCCTGGGCCAGGGAATTCCAGGAGCTGAGGGGTGTGGGGGGCAGCGCTGGAGCTGGGGAGGGTGCAGGGGAAGTGCTGGGTCAGGAAGAAACTTTTTCCTGGGACACAGGGCAGTGTCTCCTGCAGATTCCTCTGCAGAGGCTGCCTGGGGACACTGCTCCTCTTCCCCTGCTGGTATTAAAGGGCCCATGAAAGGGGGCGAGGAGCCTGCCCACCCCCAGGGCAGGCAGCTCTGCTGGTGGACGCGGAGGAAGCAGCGGGCGGGACGGCTCTGCACTGGAAGAAGGAGGCAGGGAGAGGGGGAAGCATCGCTGCAAGCAAGGGAGCGCTGAGAATGACAAAGGCAGCCGAGCACTCACCCGCACTCCGCGCTCCCGGGACCTCCCGCTCAGCTCCAGCCCAGGCTGCTCCTGCGGTGTCCGGTCACTGCGGGCGCCTCCTGCCCGCTGCACGTCCCGGGCTGCCAGGCCACCTTGTCTTTTAAAGGTCACAGCCAGAGGAGCTTGCAGTAAACATAAGGTGCTGATGGGAAGCTCTGCTCCAGCGTTGCCACCTCCTCCTCCTGCCTGCTCCTGGCCCGGGAGCCCAGCATCCCGTGGCTGTGGGAGGGATGAGGCTGTCCTCCTGCTGCTGCTGGGAGTGCGGATGGGACAGGATGCTCCAGGGCAGCCGGGGCCGGTGCTGCGCCTGCTGCATAGAGCTGGGAGGCTGCAGCCCAACTGCTCTGCTCAGCCCTACCCAGGTACCCACGTGGAGGGAAACAGGAGCCCTCCTCGGAGAGCAGCCTGGTACTTTAACCCTCCCTGCTCCATTAGTGCGAGGTGAGAGGGAGTGACGGGTACCCAGGAGCCTCACAGCCACTCTGACCGCTCTGCAGGCTGTGAGCCAGCTGGCAGGACCCCTGCACCCTTCTTCCTGTCTCCCCGAGAGGTGACAGTGTCCGAGCATGGTGCTCGCCCTCCCTGAAACCGGACACAGCAGCTTTGTGCTGGACTCAGCAAAACAAGTTCCGCTGAGCCACCGTATCCCTGGTCCCATGCCGGACATCTCAGTATCCTGCTAAAACCCCAGGGCCAGCTGCTCTGTGTGTGCTTCCTGGCCATTCACTGAGGTCAGGCTGTGGGACAGCAGAGCCGTTCCCAGGCCTGTGGCAGCAGCAGATGTCTCAGGAGAGCAGTCAGGCGAGGAGACCGGCCAGAGCTGCCAAGTGTGACAGCTCCATCAGGCTGCTGTGACAGGCAGCATCCCGCTCCGAGCCCCAGGCTGCATGGCCAGGAGAGCCCGACACCAGGCTCAGAGCCCCGCTTCTGCAGAGATGTCAGTGGGGACAGAGTGGGCAGCAGACAGGAAGGAGTTCATGCATAACGGCCTTTCCCTTACGCAAGGGTATGGGTGCGACTCTTTCATGTCCCCAGTGCTGCAGGTCTCTCTGGTCCTGCTTGCTGGATGCTGGAGGGTCCAGCCTCAGCCTCATTGGCCCCCCTGTTTCAGCATCGGTGCCCATGGTCCTAGCAGCATCATGCACCCTTGCAGGACAACAGCTAGCCGTATCCATCACCTAGCTGTATCCATCACCTAGCCGTATCCATCACCTAGCTGTATCCATCACCTAGCTGTATCCACCACCTAGCTGTATCCATCACCTAGCAGTACACACCACCTAGCTGTATCCATCCCAGCCGCCCGCCAACACACCTTCTGCTGCATCAGCAGTTCTCTCCACACCGCTCCCGCAGCGCCGGCTGCCAGCGCTCCCCAGCCTGCTCTGCCTGTACTTTTCCTGTCTCTGTTGCCAGCACTGCAGCTCTAACTCCTCAACCCACAGGCACTGCTGGCATCCTCTGGTGGTCCCCTGGGATGCCCCCGTGCCCTGCAAAGCCTCCTGCTTCCCCTCTTCCCTCCTGCTTCAGGTGGGAAGGAGAATGAGCTGCAAAGAGGGCTGTAGTGGGGCTGAGGGGTCTCAAAGCACCCTGGAGCTGATGGGCCACGGCACCACAGACATGAAGGCAGGGCCCTGTGGAAGAGCTGCTCTCACAGCTGAAAAGAAGTAATCTTGTTCGGGGAAGCCATGCTGTAGAGCTGTACCCAGCAAGGGATGTACAGCCTTACCTGGTCCCTGGACACATGCCTCATGCCAGCAAGGACTCCAGCCTGAAGAAACAATCAGTCCTGTTCCTGCACTGTGAGCACAGCATCACCTCCTCCCGTTATCAGGATGCATCACCTCCAAATCACTGCTCTGCACAGGGCTCTGGGCATCTAATGGATGTGGGCTCAGAAGTAAAGCTCTTTGCACACTGTGTCATTGGATGCCTCCATTAGGAGGGCCTTTTTGGATGTGGTCTGCTGGAGGTTAGCTCTAATGGATGTGGCAGTGTGGGAAAGGTGCTTGAGACGTAAACTTGTGCAGCCAATTATCCCAGAACAAACCCACAGTGAGAAAACTAAGTTTGCCAAGTGCTCCCTTTGGTGCTGGGTGGATTCCCTTGCACCCGACTTTGTGTCCCCCTCTGCCATCGGGGATGCTGGTAGCTCCATGGGGACAGCAGGCAGGGACACCGGTGATGCCACGCTCCTGAGCGCTGACCGCAGCAGGGGCAGGGGAAGCCGCAGCCTCAGCGGCACCTCCTCCCCTTCCAGGGTGGCCCCAGGGCATCCCCCGACCCCCGGTGCGGGCGGTGCTGCGGGAGGATGCGCGGCGCGGAGGAGCGCGGAGGAGGGCGCAGCGCGGCCCCGCCCGGCACGGCCCCGCCTGCCCGCAGCGGGGCTGCCAGAGCCGGGCCAGCACGGACCGCGCCGCAGCCATGGCCCGGGGCTCGCCCGCCGCCCGCCGCCGCCCCGCGCCGCGCCTGCTGGCAGCGCTCCTGGGTAAGGGGCTGCGGGGGGCTGCGGGACCCGCTCCGCCCCGCGCAGCGCCCGCATCCCCCGGGAGCGCCGCGGCTGCATCCCGCTTCCAGCCGCTCCCCGCTTCCCGAGGCGGGGGGACCCTCGCTTCCCGCTCAGCTGCTTTGCATCCGGATTGCCCGCACCGCCAGGGATCGGACGCTGCTGCTGGGATGGATTTCCCCTGCACGGGCGCTAATGCAATGATCTCCGCTCTGCAGACGGCGAGCCCGAAGCACTGAGGATAAGTGACTTGTCCAAGGTGACTTCGCAGCCGAGTCCGAGAGCGGACTCTGAAGTCCTGCCTCCAGCCCCCTGCCCTGCCTGCACCATCGCCAGAGCTTCCTCCTGCGAGCACTGCGGCTGCATCCCGCTTTGCCCTGCTCCGCTCTGCTGCTCTGTGAGCAGGGACCGCCGCTACCTGCCTGCTAACGTGAACCGGGGGAATAGCCGTAGGGAAGCGGTGCACTGCTTCAGCGCAGCCGCCAGCACGCCCGCCGACAGGTCATTGTCTTTACAGTTCGTTTGCATGCGCTTCTCCGCGGCGCGGGGACGAGCCCACACTGCAGGGCTCGGAGCATGATGCCCAGGCGTGTGTCCAGGGATGCCCGAGCTCCCCGGCTGCAGGATGCAGGAGGGAGTTTGCAGCCGTCCCCTCCCCGCTGCAGCTCCTGGGGCTGGTTCCAAGCCACCTGCATCAATTCTCACTCTCCGGCTGCACTTCTGCTCGTGTAGGTCACCCTTGTGTCCACGGGCACAGGGAGCCTGAAACCGAGGGCTGCCTTTGCAGCACTTGCTGTTGGGAAGCTCCTTTGAGAGGCATTTTAGAGGGCATAGTTCTTAAGTTTGCTTTAAGTGAGCTGGAGACACAAAAGGACGTGTAAGTACCTGGCTCCCTGCAAGATTTGGGTGCTGGTTGAAGGTGCCTCCTTGGATAGAAGCAGTGCAAGCTGCTTTCGGCACAGGGGTGGCAGTGGGATGGTAGGAGAGACTTGGAGATGCTGCTGACAGGGCGCTTGGGGTTTGAGGTCCAGTGTGTTGAGATGGGAACCTGGTCCTACAGGTCACTCAGGTGGGCTGGGAGCCTGGAGGGAGAGGTGGGAAGAGGAGAGTGTCTGGGCAGGAATCCGTGTCTGTTTTGGGATGCTGTGCTCTCCAGGGAGCAGTCCTGGGCTCCTGGCTGCACCAGGGAGCTGGAGCACATCTTCTGTCCTCAGCGCTCATGGGAAGGGGCAGCCCGTGTGTCCTGTCCCAGAGCACACAGGGCTCAGGCTGGCCTGAGAGTTCCTTGCTTCTAACCTGGGTGGAGAGGAGCCTGGCCATCCCACCAGGCATGGTTTGCTGTGTGTGCTGGGAGCTCACATGGATTCTTATGGGCAAGGAAAGTTTTTATAGAGGTGTTTTCTCGCAGATAGTGGAAGTGTCTGATGGCTTTTCAGGTGAATCATAGAATCATAGACCAGTTAGGGTTGGAAAGGAACTAAAGATCATCTGGTTCCAACCCCATGTGCCCTTTCCATTCAGGCACTGATTCCCAGACCAGGTTCACAATGGGCTGCAGGAAAAGCAGGCAGCTATGGGGGAAAGTCTTGTTTCAGGTCCTGGCCCAGGCTGGAGCGCTATTGCTGCTGCTGCTGGGGCTGGGTCCCACGTTGCAGCACTAAGCACATAGCTCAGTGGCTCTGGGACCTCTGTGGGGCTTGCCCCAGAGGCTTACCCTTAGGAAGAGGCTCTGGCAGCAGCAAGTGGCTGCTCCCCGGTGCCCCTTTGCTATCTCTTGGTGAAAGCTGGTCCCTGCAGGTGTCCTGGAGCCCATGGAGGGGCTTGCTCTGTGTGCTGAAGGCTGGGTGGGAAGTGCAGCAGCTTTGGGCACATGGCCATTGGGCAGCTGGTGTGGCAGGTCCAGTCAGCAACCTCCCGGCCTCCCCATGTCTTTTCCTCTGTGCTTTATTTAGAGGTAACATATCAATTCTGTCTTCCTGAGACCACAGCATGACAGGAAGAAGATCAGCCTCCGCTTACCCCACGCATTCAATTCAGATTGCGTTCATGACGTTGTAACGGTGGCAGACAGGATTAAAAGTGTCACAAGCTGCAAGGAATCGTCTTTCCTGTAAGTAACTGTCAGCTTGCAGCACCCTGCCTGCTCAGGCGTACCTGCAGAGCCAGGCAGCCCTCTGCTAAGTCTTACTCCAGGTAGCAGCATGGCTCCCCAGGGATGCTCCTGCCTGTGAAGTCCCTCTGTAGCATCCGCAGGGCTGCTGTCTGAGCCTGACAACTGCAGGAGACCTCCTTCTGCTGGGAACCACCCCCTGATGGTAGCTAAAGCCTCCGGAGGGGAATGAAAAGTGCTTCTTTGTAAAGTTAAGTAACTCCTCGCCTGCAGTGCTTGCAATGCAGCACTGCAGCAGGGCCAGAAGCCCAGGATGCAGGGCTCAGGCTTGGCTTGGGCTGTGATGTGCCTGGGGAGTTGTTAGCACAGGCATGTGTGGGAGAATAAATCAGCAGCTGAAGCAGCTTCAGAGAGAAGGGAATCTGAAGCTGAGGGCAGTGTATCCAAGTTTGGGTGTTAGTGGAGCTGCAGACCAGCTTATAGCTGCAGGAGAGCTGTCCCCAGTGTGTTTTGGTTATCCAAGTGCCCAGGGAAAGCTTTATAAAGGTGGCTGAGGTCTGGGAAAGGGCAGGACAATGCTTGCTGGGTTGTACCACAGCTTGGCTGTACCACACCATACAAGCTGAACAGGGCTCTGGTGTGACTGGGGAATGAAGCTGCTCTCCTGGCCCGGAGCAGAGCATCCCGTGCCCTCTGGAAAGGGTTTGTGTGGACACTGCTGCCCAGCCTGGTGCGCATGGGAGCAGTGCATGGTGCCTTGCATGGGACCTGGAGCTTTGAGGCACAGTGGGGCTTGTACCTGCTCCCGGATGCGTTTCTCCTGCTGACAGGAGGAGAGGAGAGGGAGAGCTGCATTCTGCAGCTTGAAGGTCATCCCTCTTTACATGGGAGACAGGCTCTGCACGGCAGGCTGAGGGGTCCCAGGGCTGCACAGGCTGCGAGGAGCTGCGCTGCACAGCAAGGCTGATCAGTGCTCCAGCTCCCAGCTTGAAGAACACAGAGCTCTGCTTTGCTTTGGGCGCTTCTCTCCCCCTTGAAGGTTTAGCTGGAGGCCTGTGGATAACATGCAAATCAGAGCTTTCATTCGCATACTTCATTCGTGATGATATTATGGTTCCCTTTGAATCCGCGCTGCCTCTGTGGGTTCTTCAGGAGCAGGTCCCCTGTCTCTGCCTAAGGCTGGGACAGGCACGTTTGCTCCTGCCATGCCAAAGCGAATGAGGGGTGACAAACCCATCCTGGGCTATGGGAGCTCATGCCCCTCGTGCTGAGGCTGTGGGGAGCAGGAGGAGGATGCCGTGGGTCCCTGGTGGAGCTGGGAGCAGGACCTAAGGGGTGATGGCTGCATCCCGCTGCTTGCCATGTGCTCCCTGGGAGGGGATCCCACTGTGACTGGTGCTCCAGCAGAGGCCAGGCTGCAGGGGGGAGCAGTTGTCCTTCCCATGTGCCTTTCTCCTCCCTGCCCCATCTTTCCCCAGGTACATGTCCACAGCAAAGCCCAGCAGAGGCTGGGCTGCACCCCGGTTCCTGATGCAGCAGGCTGGTGCCGTGCCCTCACTGTCTCCTCCCCTCTCCCTGCCAGGTTTGCACGTCTTCGCCCTCGCCTTCGCCTTGGAGGTGTCAGTGGGGAAGACCAACACTGTGATGGCCCTGAATAACTCCAATGTCCTGCTGCCCTGCACCTTCACCACCTGCATAGGCTTCCAGGACCTGGTCTTCACGTGGTATTTCAACTCGACAGAGATGGTGGGTGCCTCTCTGGCCTTTGCCTCTGGTTTATAGGCAGGGTCTTTCCTAATTCCCAGTTCTTGCAGAGTTCCCTTTCTCCTCTCACAGGGCTGTGCCAACAGGGTGACTCAAACACCTTGGCACATCTGTGCTTTTGGCACAAAGCTGTTCTGCTGCCCACAGGCTCATCTCTTAATGTAAATTGACTGCTCATGTGCAAGTCTGCCCTTTGGGCAAAATAGGGTTGGTTTTCTCTTCCTGCACTTGCTCTGCGGGACTAAAGGGTCCGGATTTGCTCTTCAACTCCTTATCAGGAGGGCTGGTTTGGAGCAGGTCCTGCAGCCCTGTCTGTCCCTACTGCAAGGGGGTTCTCCCATCCTTTGCATGGTCTATAACACCACTGCAGGGCAGGGCAGGGCAGGTTGACTGCTGCATCCACAGCACTGTGGGCTGTGTGTCAGGCCCCCCTCCATAACCATTACTGCTATACTGGGGCGTGCAGGGACACTGCCATGCGTGTCTGTGTGTGCAGAGCGCTGGCAGGAGACCTTGGGCCTTTCCCTCACTTGGGATTGTTGGGAGCCCGTCTGATCCCGCATCCTGCATCCCTGCCCCTGCAGATTTACCACGGCAAGATAAAGAGCAAAGCCTCGGAGCCCTTGCTGGTGGCGCGCAACCCACGAGTCGAGTTTGTGGGCTCGACGACCAAGAAGGACAACAACATCTCCATCCTCCTGAAGAACGTGGACTTCAGCGATGCTGGGAAATACACGTGCCATGTCAAGAACCCCAAGGAGAAGTATGCGCAGCACAACGCCACCATCTTCCTCACCGTGGTCCAGAAGAGTAAGTGCTGGCCAGGGCTCCGGTGCCCTGCGGGTGGCACTGGGGCAGTGGGGAGGCAGACCCCATCCTGGTTGTGGAGGTGCATGGGGGGTCCTGGCTTCTTGGAGGTAGCTGGCATCCCTGCAGGGTAAAGGTTGGCCTCGTGCCCCTCTCTGTGGGTCCATAGTTGCTTTGTGGGGCGAGATCGTGCAGTTGGGAGCTCCCTGCTCCCATCCTGAGGCCCCTCAGCACCTTCTCTCCTGCAGTGGTGGAGACAGACAACACTGTGACGCTCATCATTGTGGGCGTTGTGGGGGGGCTCATCGGCCTCCTCATCCTCTTCATGCTCATCAAGAGGGTTGTCCTGTTCATCATCAAGAAGACTCAGGATGGGAAGTGAGTGTGGGTCCTGGCGCCCTTTGTTGGGTGCTGCAGGGGGTCGTGGTGAGAGGGGCTGGAGGGGCAGGGGTTGTGAGCTGCCTGTGTGCCCTTCCCAGGAAGGAATGCCTCGTGAGCTCCTCGGGCAACGACAACACGGAGAACGGCTTGGCTGGCTCCAAGGCGGAACAAAAAGCACCACCAAAGGCATGAAGCAGCGGCACCCCGCGCCCGGCCTGCCCCGCAGCGGGGACAGGGGCAGGGGGCCAAGCCTTTCCCTTTTGTTTTCTTCCCAAACTGCCAATGCTTGAGACCTGTTTCTATTACACACGTGCCTGCAACCTGCGCTGCTTCTCGGAAAAGACTTAGGCTGCCGTGGGGACTCGGACTGGGATGCTGCCGGGACGGAGGGAGCTGCCTGCTCTGCGATGAGTGACGGCAAGAGGGTGCTGGGCAGGCAGGGAAGGGGCTGGGGATACCGTGGGTGCTGCGCTGCTTGCGGGGTGGTGGTGGATGGTGAGCAGGGGTCCCGGCGTGCCTGGGGGTAGAGGCTGCGAGGAGCTTGGGGTGTCTTTGTGTGAGTGGCAAAGCAGAGCTGGGGCAGGCAGGAGCTGCCTGCCTTGTGCAGAGGGCATCTGAGCAGAGCAAAGGTGCACAGAGCTCGCCATAGAGGCAGAGGCTCCTGGTTTGCTGCTTTTCCTATGGGTCCGGCACAGGAGGAAAGGAGGAAGCAGGGCTGATGCAGCAGGGCTTGGCTTGAGCTCTCATAAGCACACTTGAGAACCAAATCAGACACTGTCAGGGCTGTCATCTGGTCCCTGCAGGGGCTGGTGCCGTGCTCCTGCCATGGGCCAGGCTGGTTCCTCCTATGCAGGGCTGTGGGGACCAGCAGCCGGGGCTGGCCACATCGTGGGGTCACTGGTGGCTGCAGTGGGGTGAAGGTCCATGTTCCACACCCTGTGTAGGGCCATACCCCAGGGGCAGTGGGGGCCTTCTCGGGGTTACTCCCTGGGTTTGTACTGCTGCTCCTGCTCCTCCTCCCCTCTTCAAAGCCCATCACTCAGCACACTCAGAGCAGTGATGCTGCTGATGCTGCCTCGCCAAGGCTCAACTTGCTCCGCAGAGGTTTTTTGTATTAGACTCCAGTGGGAACGCAGCCGATGGCGTTCCCCCATCACCCAAGGAAAACTGCGGCACCCCATCTGCGACGCAGGGAGGAGGGAGCACAGTGGAGCCCTGGCGAGGGGAGCAATGCTAGGGCTGTGCCAGCCCACCCCTGGGCCTGCCACCAGCCCGCTGGGTGACCTTGGGCAAGTCGCTCTGCCTCTGCATGCCTCAGTTTCCCCATCTGTAAAATGGGGATAATAACACTGCTCTACCTCACAGGGGTGGTTCTGAGGCTTCCTTGGCTACCGGTTGTAAAGTGCTTTGAGATCCTCGGGTGAAGGGGGCCACAGAAAGCCAAAAGGGTACCTGCAGTGGGGCCCTCCCTGCAGCTGAAGGTGGCAATGTCCTTTACAATGCGATTTGTTCCCTCTTCCTCTTTCATTTGTGGGTGGCTGTTGGTGAAGCTGCAGGGCAGGCGGCTCCCCCATCCCCACGGGATGCTGGGAATCAGCCGAGCCATGCCCCGGCTGCAGGTGCCCTGACAGAGGTGCCGGAGCGGACGGTAGGTGCGGATTCGGTGGGCAAGGCAAACAAGGAGCTACCTTCTCTGGTGACTGCGGTGGGGAGGTCAGGCCTGCTTATGGGGTGGTGGCACAGGGAGCACCCTGCAGCCTTCACCATGGGGCACCCCATCCCTAGAGTGGGGACAGTAAATCTGACCCAGCTCACAGGAGGTGTGAGGCTCCCTGCATGGCTTTGCAAAGAGGTCCTAGGGTGAAAGGCACTCTGTAAATGCCAAGTGTTGTTACCGCATCATTGTCATGCATGAGTCTGGGCAGCAAGGCTGAGACCTCCCGGCTGCCCCAAGAGAGCCCCAGCCCATCCCTGGAGGAGACCTTCTGTGGGGGAGGACACTGAGGGGGGAAAGGACTTTTTTAAAGACCTATTTTTAGCTGTCCCAACCTGTTGGCCTTTTTTAGCTGGTATCTGGACGCAGTTCCACTTACCACAGGATATGCAATGCTGTTCTATGCATGGATTACTCCTCTGGCTTGATGGAAACAGTCAACATAAGCACTTCTTGACACGTAACTCTATATGCATATGTGTGCGGGTGCTGTCCACAGCGCGGGGGGCTCTGGGCTGCTTTGGGTGCCAGCTCCTGTGGGGCTCCTGCTGTCACAAGGGCTTTGGGGGGGTCTGCAGGGGCTTTCTGGGGGGAGAGGGCCCTGCTGGAGGTGTGTGCTGCAACAGACACATACGTGTATCAGCCTATCTAAATCCACGTAGGAGATGCCTGTGAGCAAACACAGGGTGTGTGTGATGCTGTGTGGTGACAGCACATTTTTGCACTGTAGAGGTTTAGCTAGCTTTGCCTTGAATGAAATAAACTTTATGTTTAATAGAGAAACTAGAAGCTGGGTTGCTGGATCTGTTTAGGCTCCTTCGGGGCGCGCTGCATTGCAGGCCCTGCGCCGAGGCAGAGCAGCAGTGATTCCCTTGTGTGCTGGGCACTGGCCGTGTTTAGAGGGTGCTTTTCCCAGTGGAAAAGGCTCTGAGTGCGGCTGCCTGGAAAGCAGGATCCCTCCCTACCACGCTGCATGGGAATGGTCCCTATTTCTATGCTAGAAAGAGTTGATTTAAAGGAATGCCTGCTGTCCATGTCTGTTTCCAGTAATTTAAACTGGCCCTATTCTGAGCAGCCTGAGTGGCCGAGGTCTGTGTGCAGGAACAGGTTGTTCACAAGAGTCAGCAAGACCCTATCCTGTGCTGGGAAAGCAGTGGGGCACTGGGTACTGCCAGAAACACCCTTGCAAGCAAGAGGGACAGAGCCTTCAGAGGCTGCGTGACAAAAACAACCTCTCTCTTTTAATGGGGTTATTCCATAGCACAGACATCATTCCTCTCTGTAGAACAGTGGTGCGCAAAGAGCAGCTTCGCCCTGCAGGAGCCTTCCTGCCACAGCAGGCTCAGCACCGGGTAATAAATCAGTCTTTCTGCGGAAGGAGCTTGAGCTGCTCAGATTCCCCCATGGTATCGCTGGACATCCCTCCGAGCCGCCCTTTGCCTCCTTGGCTGGCCTCTGGTGTGCTAAATCACAGCCTGGCAGCGAGGGCTTGGGAGGCACCGCTGACCTTTTGATGCCGGAGCTGATGCAGCCAAGCGTGTAGGGATGGGGAGGGAGGCGTGAGGGGAGGGGAAGGACCTGTCCCAGCAGGTCTCAGAGCTCCGACTGGAATGAGAGAGAGAAGAAATGGTGAGATTTGAAAGGGCATCTGAAAGCAGGAGCACAGAATCACGTCCTTAAGGAGCCGGCTCCACTCCATGCAGAGCCCAAGGGTGCCCTTCCCCAGCACGCCCAAACCCCCTGTGCTAGAGCAGCAGGGCAGCACTGACCCTCCGCACAGCGTAGATCCAGTTGAGGTAGGCACGGACGCTGGTGTAGACACCGGGCATGCTGGGGCTGCCGCAGCCCTCTCCCCAGCTCACGATGCCCACCACTTGCCAGTGCTTGCCTGAGTAGAGCAGGGGCCCTCCGCTGTCTCCCTGCAAAGGATAAACCATCAAAGCGAGGAGCCCCCGTTCCCATCACATTGGGTACCAGTGCTCACGGCTGCAGCTTTCCCAGCCCTGGAAGGAGCTATTTCCTCAACCAGAACCAACCTGGCACGTGTCCACCCCGCCTTGGGGCAGGCCCGCACACAGCATCTTCTCGGTGACCTCGCCATGGTAGGCACCCACGTTGCAGCTCTCCTCATCGATGAGTTTCACCTCCGCCTGCTGCAGGACCTCAGACAGTTTGCCTGCACACAACGTGGTGCCTCAGAGGGGACCCTGGAGGGAGCCCACCGGCCCTCATCCTGCGAGTGGTGCTGGGGGCACTGCCCCACTCACCGCGCTTCTGCGTGTAACCCCAGCCTATGACCCACAGGGGTGTGCCTGGCACCAGCTCCTCGTCGAAATAGGGCAGGCAGATGGCCTTGCTGCTGTCTGAATGGGGACAGGAAAGGCAGGAGGTGACTGAGGAGGGTTGTGGGGAAGCCAGGGCCATGCACCACTGGGCACCCAGCTCCCTCCTCGTATGTGTCCCTCTGCACTGCTGCTTGATGCCCACTGAGCTCCTAGCCTGCTAGTGGGGCTCTTGCTCCAAGGAGGCACTGCCATAACTCACCTGAGACATGCAGGGGAGCCTGCAGCTTCACCAGAGCAATGTCATTGTCCTTGGGAGACGTGGGCATCTCCCCAGCCAGGAAGACCTTCTCCACAGCAAGGGTGCTGGTGCCTGAGAGGAGGTTGGAGCCAGCCTTCACACGCCAGCTCTGAACAATGGGGTTGTTCCTGTACACAGACACATCTGTTATTGCTCCCCTCTTCCCTCCTGCTGCAGGGACAGGCAGCAGAGCCTTGCCTACACTGTGCCCTGCTCAGCATCCCTGCACCAAGGGGCACAAAGCCATGTTAGTTACAGGAACACACGGCTTAAACCCAGGCGTTGAGGAGCCGACTCACTTGAAGCAGTGCGCTGCCGTCAGGATCCAGCTGCGGTCGATGATGCTGCCCCCACAGATGTGCTCCTTCTTGTACTGCAGGCTCACCTGCCACGGCCAGGCCTCGATGGGGGCTGCGCTCCCCCCCAGCACACGGGGTGTCCTTATGCTCTCCCCACAGCCTTCTGCCGGGCGGCAGAGCAACAGAGCAACAGGTCAGCTGCAGCGGTCGGAGGGAGAGAGCATTGCTCTGCCCTCCTCTGCCCTCAGGTGAGTGGGGACAGAGGCTCCTGAGAGCCACCCCTCTGTTGGCCACTCAGCACACCCGCTTTTGTTCTCTATCTGCACATCACCCCTGGGCTTGCTTCATCCATTCCTTGCCTTCTCCAGCCCACCGAGCAGATTAGTTTAATCAGGATAATTCAACAGCAAAAGCAAACCCATCCCAGCAGCTGGTTAAGCCTCTCTTAGGTGTTCCATGTCTGGGAGGTTTACATTGGTTTAGCGAGGAGGTTAGCAGTAATGAAATCCAACTTTTCTCATGCAAATCCTCAGCGTGGGAATCAGGGAAGGCCAGGGCTTGGGCCATAGCTGAGCTCTTGCAGCCGCAGCGCAGCGCATGGGGATGTGCCAGGAATGGGGAGGTGGAGTGGCACCGGTGCAATCAGTGCCGGGATACTTACTGGAACAGAAGAGCGAAACAACCGCTCCGGAGAGGCATTTCCTGGGAGAGGGAGGGAAAGGGCTGGGGTCAGCGGGGGAGAGGCTCCGGCTCAGCAGCAGGACG